ACGATTGGATCCAAATCTGAAGCACGATCTGCTTACCTTTCTTGAGTACCTTTGGTCACCCCCTTTTTTTGTTGGTGTTCGTGTTGCTGATTCTTCAGTTTTCTGTCGCTATAGTTTTTTAGGTGAAATCCGTTAATCTTCGACTTATTCGTCCCTTTGGTATCTTCCGCCTCTTTTTTATTTTATTTTACCAAACATAGATTTTAGAGAATGGACGGATAGTAAAATTAATCTTCTTCCCATCCAGCTTTATTTGCATTGAGAGGCTTTACATGTATTTTCAGATGTGACCTTAAGATATTAGACACAAAATTTGACAGTTTTTACTAAATCGATAAAAGCAATAATGTATGAAAAGATCAATGTTAATCTTCTTGGTATTAACTTTGATGATGTAATCATTACTGTTCTCTCACTCGGAATCTGTTATCATTACAATAAAAAACAATCAATGGTGTAAAATGAATTATATGAACATGAACAAGGCAAAATTGTCTTTGATGTTTTAACTGCATACCTACTTTCTTAAGTTATCTCAAGGCACATATCAAAAGGTGGAGGAGAGTATACTAAAGAAACAAATTAAAATCAACAAGAAGAAGTAAAACAGGCAATTGCATGACAAAGACGAACAAATGTCGAAAAGACTAACAATATTCCATTAACCACACGAATCCCGACTTAAACCCAAGGTAAACACCAGTGGTATCCGTGGCTTTGCTAATGGCAATCACAAGATCGGTGGTAAGTCACATTCGATGACGTGACGATCGTTGCAAAGAAGACTTAAAGCACCAGCTCTATGCGCTTTGATAAAACGTAACATCAAATTCATTAAGCCAAACAAATTTAGAACAACATAGTATCTGCACTCTTCGGAAATATGACTATGCTTGAAAATTCAAGTTAAGATGATCGAATCCCCGTATTTCTGTTGTTTACTAAGTAATTATAATTTGTGCAGTTTTGAAAAAAAAATATATAATTTTTATGAGAGTCTTGTTGGGAGTCCTTCATTTCTCTATTCTTTATATTATATCACCTAATTATTATCTATTCTTTAATTTTTTTTGCCCATTTTTCTCCATTCTTTATATTTTTTTGGCCATTATTCTCAATCATATAAATCCCCATCCACACCCTCATATAGTGACGTTCCCAGAACTAAATGCATTATTTTGCATCTTTAATGCGCATGGCACAATGTTAAAATCAACCCAACTCTGCTGTTTTCTGGTATAGATACGAAGACTGACTCTTTTTACAATTTCTTTATAATCCTATATTTGAAAGTAAATCTATTGTAATTATATAGAATAAACTGTTTAGTGCGAAATAAATTGAATAGAAGTGGATGATTTCTATTTCCCTATTACCAATTTCCGTTTTCTCAGTAGTGACATACCCTCTGATCAGTCGTATGGTGTTTACATATCTCAATTGATACGTTATGTTCGTGCATGTGTACACTATACGGACTTCATATACAGGAGTTTGCTCCTTACGAAGAAAATGCTCCAACAGAGTTATGAGGAGGAAAGAACAAAAATTACACTTCTTAAATTTTATGGACACCATCATGAATTGGTTGATCGATACGCTGTGGCTGTGTCTAAACTCACTAACAACATTTTTAACACGTCTTAGATTGTAGTTTAACATCTATGTCGTCTGTCTGCTAAGTACCAAACGTGACCTATTCCCAAATATGACTGTTTTGCCGAGTGTGAATAAGCATTGCCATACGACGTGTCTCGGTATTAATACATCCAACATTCATGTATTTAGTTATGATGTTTCTGATCTGTGTTTAGTTGGATATTGTGTCACGTCTTATCATTTGTGGTTTAAATTCTGTATTTTCGGTATATTTCACATATGTTTATTTGTCAGTATAGTCGAGTTAATGTCCATGGATAAAGTATTGTGTTAGATCAAATAATTATGAATTGGTCACAGCATTTATTATACCCCACGCAACGAGTTGCGGAGGGTATAATGTTTTTGACCCGTCCGTCTGTCCGTCTGTCTGTCCGTCTCTCTGTCCGTCCGTCTGTCCGTCCGTCCGTCTGTCCGTCCGTCCGTCTGTCCGTCTGTCCGTCCGTCAGTCCGTCAGTCCTATTTCTTGTCATCGCAACTCCTCTCAAACCACATAACAGAATTTTACGAAACCTTTTTAGATAATAAGGACATACTATGTAGTTGTGCATATCGACAGGAAATTACGATTCAATTTTTTTTCTAGGAGTTACGCGCCTTTGAACTTATTTGCCCAATATACTACTGCAACTTTTTGTCATCGCAACTCCTCTCACACCACACAACAGAATTTCATGAAACCTTTTCAGATAATAAGGACATACTACGTAGCTGTGCATATCGACAGGAAATTACGATTCAATTTTTTTTCTAGGAGTTACGCGCCTTTGAACTTATTTGCCCAATATACTACTGCAACCTTTTGTCATCGAAACTCCTCTCAAACCACACAACAGAATTTCATGAAACCTTTTCAGATAATAAGGACATACTATGTAGATGTGCATATCGACAGGAAATTACGATTCAATTTTTTTCCAGGAGTTACGCCCCTTTGAACTTATTTGCCCAAAATACTACTGCAACCTTTTGTCATCGCAACTCCTCTCAAACCACACAACAGCATTTCATGAAACTGTGTAGATAATAAGGACATACTATGTAGATGTGCATATTGACAGGAAATTATGATTCAATTTTTTTTTCTGATACAATTTTTTTTTCTTACACTTATTTTATTTCTCCAATGACAATGTGGGGACGTGGGGTATGTGAGCGCGCTCACTAAGGTTCTTTAATTTAAGATAGCATTTCAATACCGCCATAATCATGATAATTGTTTGGACTAGTATTGTGAAAATAATTGTATGAATTTTAAAATTATATATTCGTCTCAAACATACGTCACTGAATGTTTTTTTCCTGTGCTGTCGTATAGGAAGATGTTCATTGTTATTTCGCGATTTACATGCTGTTACGACTATAATGCTAATTGTTTGTGCGTTTCTCTGTGCTGAATGATCTTGCGTTTGTTTGTGCTGTATTCCTGTCACATAGTGTTGTCATTTTAGCGATATATTGTTTAACATTGCCACATAAACGGGAGGTTTGGCTAGCCATAACACCAGGTTCAACCCAACAGTTTTTTCGTAACCTGTCCTTTACTAAGTCAGGAATATGGCAGTTGTATTCAAATAGTTCGTTTCTATGTTTGTTGTCGTTTGTTTTTATTGCACTTTAGTGTTTCCGTTGTTCCGTTGTTATCCTCTAATAGTTGACGTGTTTCCCTCGGTTTTAGTTCGTAACCTGGATTTGTTTTCTCCCAATCGATTTTGAACAGGGGTATACTACTGTTGCCTTTATTTATTCATGACAATGTCAAGTAGTTTAAGCATGAGACTGTAATAAACATTGACGTTTGCGTGACACTTTTAATGTTAAAGTTTCAACCTTATCATACTCGAGGCTTTCAACATATCACAAACATCACTAACTTAGCAGTGAAATGTAACAACTTACTAAATGTAGTAAACAATAATCTTAAGCACATTTCAAAATAGATTATTGTAAATACATTTTACAATATTAAGCTTTCTATGATAAAGATATATAGACCGTATTCATAAATTATTTCCAGTTACGAACTTTTAAGATACATTTGGATTAAGTAATATATCTCCTTCATTCAAAGCTCTGATGCCTTGCCTATATTTTTCTATACTTATTGTTTTTCTTAATCTGTAAAATTCAGGATTTTCATATATTTTAGCCTCGAGCATCACTGAAGAGAATTAAGGAAAATAACAAAAATATCCGGAACTCCAACGAAAATTCAAAACGGAAATCTTTTATTAAATGGCAAAATCAAAAGCTAAAACACATCAATCGAACGTAACATGTGGAAAACAACTGTCATATTCTTGGCATTTTCTTATGTAGCTAAACCTCTCAGACTTTCTCGTTTAAATTGTTACAGTTAATGCCAACTAATCTAAGTTACCTGGATGCGTCCATGGCTTTCTGGGTGTATGTTATGTTTGTATTTTTGCAGTGAGATTACTGGTTAATTTATGATAGGATTTATTACATTTCTTTGCCCTATATGAGGGTCTGGAATGGGGGAGTTATAAATCATTTCTACATGTTCTATTCTCTCTACTCGATATTTCTTTTGTCTATTATTCTCTTTTCTACGCTATTACTCTCTATTCTTTAATGATTTTTTCCTATTTTCCTATTCTTCTCTATTTTTCATCGTTTTATTCAATTTTCTCTGTTATGTAAACCCCACCCATACCCTTAGCTATACTTAATTACTTGTTAATACTATAAACTAGAAAGTGTTCAAAAATGAATATATATACGGTGTACGCAAATATAACCAAATAATTCAGGAAAGCGTTGATTAATAAAAGCAGATCTGGGATGTATGTGAATTTGACAGCAACTCAACAACACCAAAAAATCTACATCTAATCATTCTAAGAGGACAACGCCAGGTTTTCAAGTATACACAAAATTTTACTATCAGAAGTTACGAAAAAAATCAACAGGATCTCTCATGATCTACCACCAACACTTAATTTTCTGTTTCAATAAGGAAAATTATGTTTACTCTATATACATGTAACCCATATAAGATAACAGTGATTTTGTTAATTTCAATGCATCAAAAAAAGGAAAAATAAATCGATGACCCCTTTTTTTATTAGAAATTTGAAAGGACAACGGCCCATAAGTCTTTAACCGGAGTTTAGGAAAAATCTAGCAACGAACATTTAGACAGCTTCCTTAATCACAGCGTGTCGTTTGTATAAAAAAAAAAAGATGTGGTATAATATCGATCGTGTTGGATTTTATTTTGAAAATTTGAAAAGTCATTTCAAATATCATATTGCATTTCACTGCAACAGTTGTAGCGATATATTAACTCTGATATCAAATTTTCAGTTGCACGCAAGCTACATTTTAATATTGTGGTTTTTTATTCTTGTAAGAATCGACGGAACAACATTTGGATCAACAAGTTCATTCAGCATGTCGATTGTTTATTCTTTGTTTTCTATAATGATTACCGCTGTAACTGTATGCTGTTACAACGAAGTAAATGTACGAGGTAAGCAATGTTGTATTGTTTTTAGTATACTTATAAATAATTGTGTATTACATATGTATGACATAGATTGGTGCAATATGTCATCTAGAACAACATAGTAGTAGTGCTTTTAAAAAGACTGATAAAGTGTAATCCCATTGCAAAAAGCGGGAATGAACCTCGTACGAGAAAAAAAAAAAACAAATGCCTATGAATGTTTTATCAAAGTTTTCTCATCTAAACAGAATAGGTGATCAAAGCAAGATCAACTTTTTAATGACATATTACCTCCGTAGCATATAAATGCGTCGCGCATAGCTTTGAGACCAGCAGGTGTGCTGATCCTTGCTTAAATTCAATTCGTGCTAAGAAAAGCACAGCCATAAAACCACTGTTGTTTTTTGCAATGCGTGTACTAGGCATTTTGTGTTGTAGGTTTTAATTCAAAATAGAATTGTTGTTTTCCCATTCATTAAATTAAAACAAAAGAGATGACTCTATAATTAACATTGTGGACTTGTTGTATATTTGGGAGTTATGTAGACGACATCATATGACCAGACATGGGAATTTTGCAATAAATTAATACTTTCCATGTATCGTGGTCACAGTGTTCTCGTTCATAATACTCCCACTTCATTTAAACTTCATTTAAACTCTAGTGGATAGTTTGCAATCATACCACCTCCCCTCATCTTTGCATAACATAAAAATATGCAACTTGCAGAGCAATTACTCAGCCTTACATTGCACATGAATTGAAATTCTCTGTTTTAGTGGTATTCATGCTATAAAATCGTAAATTTTATTTTGTTGATTAATGTTGTCTTTTAATCTATACATTTAAGGAGGAGGATTCCGGTCGATCATTTAATTTATTTCAAATCCTTTCGAAGAACGAATTAAAACGTTTGTTTTGTGCCGGTTTGCAATATCAGTTCATTTTTTAACTCAAAATCTTCCTTTCCCACCACCCAAAATATTAAATGGTCGAGCCCTTATTTCTAGTTATTCTAGGCAATGTGGGTGCAGATTAAATGAACAAGTACTATTTATTAAGATGGATAACTTACATGCATTTTTTACAATTCAATGGGGATAAATAGTATACTAACTTTTACAACAATATTAATCTCAATAAAAATTATTCTTTCGTGCAAAATATAGAATCTATAACGTGTATATGTCAACAGAAATAAAAGAATCATTTGAAATTATATAATATTATAAATTATATTAATAAAAATACCATAGATATGAGGACAAACATGATGTAAAAAGTAAAATCACAAAAATACTGAACTCCGAGGAAAACTCAAAACGGAAAGTCCCTAATCAAATGGCAAACTCAAAAGATAAAACACATCAAACGAATGGACAATACTTCTCATATTCCTGACTTGGTACAGGAATTTTCTTATGTAAGCCAGACGCACTGTTCGTCTACAAAAGACTCATCAGTGATGCTGAATTAAAAATAATAAAAAGACAGTTTTGTATTTTTTATAAGATTTACAAAAACATCATCTTAGGGTATTCAACTCATGAATCAGGTTTTGCATAATTCTCTCATGCTTGGTCTCCTTGACAAAAATGTAAAAACAATTTATATATAAGTTACCATACTATTATCCATCAAATTAACTTACTCGGTATTTACTAATGTCAGTGTATCATGTGTATGTGTGATTTCTATTGAATATGCGCCATGTTTTTATTTTACTATCACTTTAAAAATAATGACATTAACTTAAAATATTAATATTTTCGTTGCATTTTCTCATTTTGCTAATGTATCACTTTTCAGTTTGTACATGCTTTTTTCCGTTCACAGTATAGTTTTCTAGGAGTATTTATTAATTAGATATACTGTTTATAAAATTTATAGTAGTGTTGCATGTTGTTTTGTTATGAATTATATTTTGTTTGCAATTTGTAAATTAAACTAAATTAACAGTCCGTTCGAAACTACATGTAACAGCCAGAGAAGAACACATTTCCATTATGTTTTTTTTCATTTCAAAGGTACGCCCAATTTTCTAGAATTCTTGAATTTGCACTAAGATTACTGCTTTAGTTGTGTAATTTCTATATTCTGACCAAACAATAAGTCTTTGAACCTATGACCTTACATTTTCTTACATATAAGTCATAAATTTAGTTTTTTAGTAATAGATGTCTCAATAGTAATCATACAAAATCTCACTATTTTTATATATATATTAACCAGATAATCAATGCTTATGGTCATGGCTCATAATAACATTAAATGTTGATGTAAGGGAAAAAATATACATAAACCAATTTCTTAAACTTTCATTTTGAAACATTAAAGTTAAACGATTAAATGATCTTTATGAATGCAGATTGCACAGTCACGTTGACCCTTAATACATATTGGTATTAAATAAGGTTTCTGCATAAAACACAACAATATCGGTAAACTTTTGAACTCGTCTTTCAAGGGATATCTAATAGATAGGAATAACAAACCAAGACTAAACAGTAAAATTATGCATTGACTTCTATGTACAAAGGAATTCCATTTTGGTCATCAACGGGTGCAAATTTAAGAGACACTATCATAATTTATTTAAACATTGAGTACATTTTCTTAAAAAAAACATGCAATTTAAATATCTTTTATGTCCAACTCAAGACCAGTGTAAAATATAAACAATTCATGTAATTGGGTGAGTTTCTCTTTTACTTTTTTTAATGACTTCTAATTATTTATTGAGTTTAATTTATACTTTAAGTAAACCTTTAGGCAGATTATGTTTACAATTTATTTTTAAGATTTTTATGACTCCTTATTATCTTGAAGGAAAATTGATACGTTGAATTGAAATTTTATAATATAAAATAAATAGAGAGATACTTAAACAGAAAACATTTTAAAAACATTGGTTTCATTGTAGGAAAAAGGAACAAAGATGAATTATCTGTAGAAGACAGCAGGATAGATGAATTGATGAGCATATTGCAAGGTTAGTTTATTCAAGCTTCTTTGGGTATAGACAAATCTTGCTTATGCAAGAGATTCCAGTAAAACAAAAGGATTTACTGCCAAAGTCTATTTTAAAGAAACCTCTCGAAATGAAATAAGATTTTGTTAAATCCGAATTATATAATTGTTTTATCCTTCATTAGTTTTCTTGCCCTTCTTATCAAGTCTTTTAAAAACGAAATTCGTGAAAGTAGACAAACAATTGTTGATAAAATTCAAACCAATCCCTATCGTTACGAATATATTTCTAATTGGTATCATATGTATTCTAATATCCTGCCTGTCTTTCTCTCCAAGACTTTGAATGAAGTTTAGATAAAAGTGTGTATATTAAAGCAAATTCATGCCATCAAAAATGTTTCGGTCTATTCTACATCAAACTGCAAGGTTTAAAAAAGTTTCTGTTCTAACTAAAATTAGAACATTGGTTCAATTTGGAGAAACACAGGCAAGTGATTACTACATTTAGATAGGAATTAGGTTTTCACCTTGTTTTTTTTTCTTCTTGCCAAGGGTATAAAGAAAGGATGTCGTGAATAAATGGGGGAGAACGGTTCCATGTGAACAGCAGTTTTGTTCCTACGTGTATTTTTTTTTACTTTTATATGAGGAAACTGCAGATAAAAAAAAAATCTTTTCTCAATAAACCCATTTGTCAATAGATAATTTTAGGAACACGGAGCGAAACAAAATAAGTATTATTAAGAGACAACGAAATAAACGTTTTAATTAATTTAAACATTATTTTAAATAGATTAGTCTAGTAAACGAAAATAGTTCAACAAAATGCCAAACAGAAATTTTCGAAATACTAAGGATTTTCTACCAAACAATATATTTCTTAGCTGTATTTCACAAAACCTTTGGGAATTTTGAGTCTTTAATTCTCTCCAACTCGAGTAAACTTAATCATACAGGTAATTACAAAAAACACTGTAGACTTAAGTAAGAAGAATCTTCTTTCAAAAATAATTTGCTACATGCATATGCAGAATAGTCAGACAAATATAACGTTTAAAATCAAAGATATCAAAATTAATTCACTACACGTGTTTTGACATTAGAATTTAGAAAATGCATATGTAATTAATGTTAGCAGGGCAAATTTGTATATATATCTGAAAAGTGAGAAGCCGAAACTCTTCAGTACGCTGCTCATTACTCTATAGTAAATCAGATCATATAAGGTATGTACTGAATTTCATATAATTTAACACATGTCTAATGAGAGTATATTTATTGAAATTTCAGGTATTTGTGTCAATGGAAATCCCGATCAAACTGTTAAACACCTGTTGAAGGATACCGATACCATTCTCAAAAGTATGTACATTACATAAGATATCTCCATTGTTAAATTTCGATTTGGATCATGTTTAACCCGGTTTTTTTTTTCATTCATAATTTCAGTTAATTAAATCAAACTTTAAAACGCATAAATCGATGCAGAAAAAAAAATGAAAGAAACAAAAAGAAACCAAAAGAATCGCATGAAATCGAAACGGTGCAGGACTATGTGCATCGATAGTTTAAGTGTTTCCTGCTATGCGTGCGTTATCCGCCACGCAAATCCAAGCGCAGCCAAATGTCACAATCAGACAAAATACACCACAGAATATAAGCTGTAAATCCCTGCACACTGATATATATTATTGAGAGCAACTGAATATATTTTACTTGATAAATGATATTTAGTATTAATCAAATGAGTTTTTGTTTTCTTAAAAATAACCACCTGTTAGTTTAAAACAAATTAATGTAGCTCGATATAAAGATAGCTGCATGTTTACTGAGATTACTGGTATGTGCAATGTTCATGATAAGATTTCTGTTAATTATTTGAATTGGCATTTCCATTTCAAAATGTAGATATAGATGTGTACAAAGAGGTTGTGAAGAAAAACAAGCTGCTTAGGAAGGAACTGAAGTGGATTATTGAAGGTATATTAACAAATAAATGTACATTGGTACACACCAGTTATTATAGAATGGTATTTGAATTTTAAATGGCTGGTTTGCATGTTGAGCACAGAAAAAAAACATATATAGAAATAGAAATTTTTATGTTTAACAGTACGTAGCTTTTTCCACTGAGGGTATTTTTAATTGTCCCTTGGTACATTCTCCACGGACTTTATAATATTTAACTAATTGGCAGAACACATAAAGTAAAAGAAAATAAAACTACACGTGATCATACGTTTTTTTCTTGATTTTCCTAAATCAGGAATGCTCAAAGTCGATATTTTAAATCGAAGGATGTTTACGCCGAAACATTCGATGAGCTACATGACCTAAAAGGATCTAAAAATGATAATTAAATCTATATAAGCAGATAAGGTTAACTTTGTCGGAGTGATTTGAAACATTATTTTCTTTATAATTTATAAATTGATAGACGCACAATTTAAAGAGGTTTGTCGTAATTCATGTCAGAATCATCAGCAGTGATAACGACCCAGTGATATAAAATTAAAAAAAAGAACACTTTTATAAATTTCAAGCGTCCGAAGCTCTTTTATTGATTTTTCTATTATCAGGAAAGCTCAATGCTGAATATTTGATAGCCAAGAATGTGCAGAAACAAAAACAGTTACAGTGGAAAGGCAATTGGACAAAACAGGAACTATAAATAATGATTTAATTCATCTTAGGTAAACTTTTCCTGCGGAATTTGAAACCACAGTTTTCTTTATAATTTTCAAATTAATAAACAGACAACTGTTTTAAGAAATCGTCATGCTTTTGTCAGTTTAAACTAAGTGTACATACATATTGAATGACTTCGAATTCTTTATTTTCAGAATCAAAAGGTCAAAGAGAAACTTCTAGAATTGTTGATCTGATCAAAAAAGGTGTAAGAGGTAAGTAAACAGTTATCAAAGGTACCAGACTACATAAGACTCACCAGTGACGCTTAGATAGTTAGAAAGCCAAAAAACTATAAAGTTGAAGAGCATTGAGGACGCAATATTACAGACTACTGAGCTAAATGTTGTCACCAGGAACTAGCCGGATACGAGATGATTCCATATAATTATGTTATTTACTTTTACTTTAAATAAGAATTTTAAAAAATTATTACCCATGCATAGTTTTCTCTTTAACAATCTAGATGCTCATATATTGATTTACAAAATGTTTTTCAGATGTATGTGTTTCCAAGACGTACAGAGACTGTAGTGAAATGAATAGTAAAAGTCGAGGAAGTGGAATATATACAATATATCCAGAGAAATCAAAAGGAATAAAGGTTTACTGTGACATGACAGATGGCAAAGGTTGGACTGTAAGTCACTTTTACCTTTCACTCTTTCTGTCGTCAGTATTAAGGTGACATGCAAATAATTATTCTATTAAAATGTTTTTTTTACATTTGCGCCTTAAAATTAAATGCCACACTTAAGGTCTTTGGAAAAAAGAATATATTTAACGCGACTCCAGGAATTGAGGTTAGGTTAACACGGGGAGCATAGTGAGGCTTTACTTTTATCTTTCAATGCCAAAAAATATTACTAACGATTTTATGTGAGCGATTTAGGCCCGTAGCCAAAGGGATGGGGGTGGGGTGGGGATGGGGCTCGAGGGGTTTGTACGAAACCCCCTTTGAAAACAAAAAAAGAATTATGTAAGTCGATATTCTGTTTGATTTGTGAAAATTAATGTTAAGATTTTGTTTGTCGTGAGTCGATGTAACCCCCTTGAAAATACACGGCTTCATGTCTGCGATCACACCACAACCAACCCCTTCCTAAAAATACAGTTTCCTTAAAAAGCCACACTAGTGAAACCTTTGTAAATTAATCTGCCTGTAGATGTGTTTGCATTTGTAGACTACTTTAGTTTGATGTTTACTCCTTTCGAATATTGGGTTCAGTTTGACGCAAGCAATTGTCAAGGAATTCGTGTTTTATAATGGACATTTGAGCATTATAATGGGTGTATAAGTAAATTACGTTATGTGTTATCAATGGCAAGAGGTAAAATAACAAAAATACCGAACTCAGTGTAACATTCTAAACGGAAAGTCCCTAAGCAAATGATAAAATCAAAACCTGAAACAAATTAAATGAATGGATAACTGTCATATTCCTGACTTGGTACTGGCATTTCCTGATGTAGAAAATGGCGGATTAAACCTAGTTTTATAGCTAGCTATACCTCCCACTTGTATGGCAGTCGCATAAAATTCATTATATTGACTACGATGTGTGAACAAAACAAACAGACATAATAGGTAAAAGTGTCAAAAATAGAAGTACAGCAGTCAACATTGTGTTATAATCTTAATCACTTAAAACAAACTAGTAGTTAGTGTATTGGGAAATGTAGAAATAAATTTACAGCTTTGTCTGTCTGTAAAACATATTTATTACGGAGGTAAGATATGTTTTTATCAATAACAAATTCTTTTCTGATATAGGTGGTACGAATGTTCAGTATATTGTTTTTGACCGCTTCTATGACATCATAATTTTCACCCAGTCAGTAATACTTCAGCGTACTTGCCTTTCGTTTTGCATAATCTTTGAGAAACTCGTAACGCATGCCTCTTTTCGCAATTGATAAAGTCAACGGTCCAAAGTATGTTTCGATAAGATACACACACAAATGCAATGGAAATTGTATTCCCGATAACTCACATTAAAAGAAAATTTTCGATATATAATATGTTTATACTATAAATGATTAAAAAAAATAATATTTATTTCGTGATCATAGTAGAATTCAGAAAAAAAATCTTTTATGAAGTTTTCTACATGTATGTTCAAGCGCTGTTATAAAAAAAAAATTGGATGAAACATTTTAATTACATTTTATTTCTTGGCTTTTTCTTTTAAGGAGGTTGTTCTATATTTCAACTTTGATCTCAATTCGAAAGGTTTCTTTTCAAGTGAAATTTCAAGAATACCCAATTGCACACGATATTTAACGGAAGAACAGTTTGTAAATTTCTTTGTTATACGTAATTAAGTAGCTCTTTGAAAGAAATGGATATTTATAGGTAATTCAAAGAAGATTTGATGGATCTACGGACTTTTTTGGGAGAACTTGGAACGAGTATAAAGAAGGATTTGGTGATGTACAGAAAGAATACTGGCTTGGTGAGTGAACGTCCGGTGTTTTTTTTTATCACATAACAACATCAAATTCGTTCAACAATAAGTCAAAGACCCCAGTCATCTGAGAAACTTTGTTAAAAATGACAAACATGAACCAACGATAAATACTGAACTACGGGTTCCTTACTTGGGACAGGCACATAAAGAATGTTGCGGGGTTAGACATTTTTTGTGAGCGCTCGATCCACCTACCACCCTCCAACCTGCCTACTAACCTCGGACAGTGGTGTTATAGCACATCTAGCAAATACACAGATTGGACGAGTGGCAGAACAAAAAAATCGCCAATATCAGTTGAATTGTTATATCTAGAGATCTCAACTCCATGAAGACTCACTTATCGAGTAGTCAACAGTAACATTTTAAAATCGTACGAAAACAAATTACGAAGATGTTTTATATTAAGGGCATACGATACAGTAGAGATCCCTCGTTGATTTTTTCTTGAAATTTTGGTAGAAGGTCAATTTCGATTCGTACTTTTGAAATATGCAAAGAAAAATATACCTACATGACTTACTTTTTGAGATAATTTGGTTCGAAATTTGCATATTTGAAGGAAAAACCCTGAAATTTCATAAATAACGACTTTTAAGGAAAGTACCAATACTTTTGAACGAACAGTCATAATTTAACCGGGTTTTTTGTAAAATGTTCCCTTGATCCATTGCATCAGCATGCTATAACAAGTTAACGGTTGAAATAGATAATTATATCCTTAATTCTTTTAATACAAGTGAAATAAAGAAGTTGAAAATATTTTTGCGTCTACACAGAAGTGCAGAAAAAGTTCTATCGTTGATTTTTTCTTAAAATTTTGGCGGAGCGTTCTTGAAACAGAACTTGATCGATTGCAAAAGAAAAAACTGGGGGTCCATGTGCTTGTTTTTTCAATAAAAGCAATAAACCTTAATTTTTATTGGCAAACGGGACGTTTGCCAATAAGGCGCCAAACTACGTTGGGATAAGTTTTATTCGCAACAACGTCGTGAAATCTTTCCCGCCGTTCACTATACTACGTTGTCAATTTCAATGGTAGAGCCAAGGTGTTTTTTTTTAAACCAATGATATTAATCATGAAAATTAATAAAGCTGGCTCCTCGTAAAATAGCATCATATTTGCCAAACCTTTATGAATTGTTTCAAAACTCGGATAGAAAAAGTATTCTAGTAATATAAAAGAGGGACGAAAAATACCAGAGGGACATTCAAACTCATAGATCGAAAACAAATTGACAACGCCATGGCCAAAATAAAAAAACAAACAGACAAATAATAGTACAGATGACACAACATAGAAAACTAAGTCTAAGCAACCATACCCCACCAAAAACTGGGGGTGATCTCAGGTGCTTCGGAAGGGTAAGCAGATCCTGCTCCACGTGTGGCACTCGTCGTGTTGCTTATGTTATTACAAATATAAAGTAAGGGGGATGATATTAACCATGAAAATTAATAAAGCTGGCTCCTCGTAAAATAGCATCATATTTGCCAAACCTTTATGAATTGTTTCGAAACTCGGATAGAAAAAGTATTCTAGTAAATTACTTTTAGAAAAGAAATGTTCGGAAACAAAACAGATATATATAATAAAAATATTAATTTGCATCTCTGTCCGACATTAGTCATACAATTCATGTAGACAACACAGCTTGAACATAGTTTTAATTATTCAAAAGGCCCCGACATGACAAAATGTGCAACAATTATAAAGTAAGGGGGGTGATATAAAAATAAGGACATTTGGTATGATTGCAAACTATCAACCATAGTTCAAATGACGAAGATAAACGCTATTAAAGGTCACCCTACGGCCTTCAACACAAAAAAAAAAAAAAGAAAAAGCCACACCGTATAGTCAGCTTTAAAAAGCCCCGACATGAAAATGTGAAATAATTCATACTAGAAAACTAACGACCTACTCTATAGGCATTACATGAACACAAAATCATACCCACATTAAATCGGGTCAGCTTAGTCAATTACAGTGTAGTATAACATTTCATACAGCAGTCGACATTAGAGCATGAAATTTAATGATTCTGTATCAACAGATAAATTACCTAAGCTTGTCTTCAGGGTATTTTTTTTTTATTACGGTACATATAATCATTGAATTACTTGTCTGTATTATACCTTCAATCTAGGAGTGAGTGCAACCACATTGTTTGTCCGGTCCAACAAATATTTTGTTTCTTATCTGAGAAACTACTTTACAAAAAGACTTCGTATTTGGTCAGTAACTTAACATCAATGAGTTGCAACTCTGGTCTGTCAAATACCTAATTCCTGTGTGCCGATTTTTCTCTCTCAATGTGTACAAAGAGGATATGTTTAGCACATCAACGGGTGCGTTTTTGTTTTTGATCTATAATACGGGGCTTATAACTGGGTCATTTTAACTGACAATTCTTCTTCATACACTTATATATTCCACGGGTTAAATTCTAAAAATGCCGTTAAACTCTTTAATGTACCTTTTGAAAGTCAGGAACAGTAAGATGCGCTGTCATTACTTATTACGTATTTTTGTTATTTTGTTGATAGTCTCTGCTAAATTTATCCGTACAATTCTCATTACGACTTAGAGTTAGCCAAATAGTGAAGTTACTATATAAATTACTTATGTTTTTTTTTTGTGTAGTTGGATTTCTCTCTCAACGACGTATTATGTTTTTCATATCTCTAATTCATTTCCTATATAAAATAACAGAAATAGAAAATTAAGAATGTGGATTTGATTTTTTTCCCATTCGAAGTTAATATTGTTGACTTCCTTATTAATGAATAAATATAACAATTCTCGTGATTTGGCCGATTTTCATTGCAGGTACTTTTTTCAAATTCGCGCAATCGGGATTATGACGTCAGTGGATTTCCGCAAATGTGACTCCATCTAAAGCGACGTCGCGAAATGTAATCGTTCTTATTAGAAACATCGCGAAATTACAACGTTCTGATTAACAACGTCGCGAAAACAACACGAAAAGTTTTGAAAACGTTATTATCTGCCCCTGCTACTGTATCGTATGCCCTTAAGAAGTGACAGATGTGATGCCTGATATAAAAAAGAAGATGTGGTATGATTGCCAATGCGACAATTATTTACAAGAGATTAAATGACACAGAAATTAACATATATTGGTTTCCGTATGGCCTTCAACAATGAGCAAAGCCCATACCGCATAGTCTTCTATAAAAGGCCCCGAAATTACAAATGTTCAACAATCTAAACGAGAAAACTTTTGGCCTAATTCATGTACAACAGAATTAACGAAAACCAAATATGTAACACAGCAACAAACGACAATAACTGATTTCCAGGCTCCTGACTAGGGACAAACACAGACATACAAAATGGGGAAGGGGGGGGGGGGGGGGGGGGGGTGAACATGTTAGCGGGATCCCTGCCCTCCCCCTAACCTGGGACAGTGGTGTACAACATAAGAACGAACTATAAAAATCGGTTGAAAAAAGGATAAACTATTCAAATAGATACAAATAGAAATACATCTAACAAATACGTGGCCGGGTACTTTTACATCCCAACAACAAAAAGATGCTAAGTACAGATCTCAGTACTGATATTCCATTTTAACATTATTTGGTCATCGGACGAAAAAACGCTATTATATGGTGCCACATGTTTTGTGAAGTATGTGAAAAGAGAAGATTTTGGAAACATTTTAAAGACAATTTTTCACAAACGAATGAATCAGTTTAACTATGATTGTTGAATGATTTCTATAATTGTATTCCAAGAGGGGCTTTCGTCAGCAAATCAGTTTAAGGAAAGAGGGAACCAATCCTTCAATCGAGCATCCTGTTGTTGTTTGGTACTCGGCAGTATAGAGCGATACTCGAGTACTCGTTGAAATCTCTAATCATAACAATGTATCAAGATAAATCATGAAATGTTAGTAATTTTAATATGACATACTCCCACACAATCGTTAAACTTTTGAAATCCAATATTAAATAATATTTCATTAGACAAATCAACATGCAAATAACATAAATAAACAGAAGTGGTATTATTGTCAATGGAACAACAGTATTTGGAGTCAAAAGAAGGGGATGTGAGCAAATACATGTCAACTAATGGCCTTTAACAATGAGCATATCTTACACCGTAAAGTCAGCTATAAAAGACAAAATGAAAACAAGGAAAACTATGTTATCCGTTAAGAGATTACATTATTTTGTTGGAAATTATAAATTGTACATGAATTTTGTACATGTACAGTTTACTAATTTCAAAAGCCATTGATACACATAATACATGGCTTAACACAATCCAGTTTGCAAGATTTGTTTAACTAAATGTAAACTTTATGAATTTTACGAAACAGGTAACAAATATCTAAACATCCTGACATCTAGTGGTAAATATGAACTTAGAGTTGACTTGGTTGATACCAATAACAAAAAGACTTATGCAGTTTATAAGACATTTGCTGTTGGTGATGAAAATTCAAAGTTCAAGTTAACTATTGGTGTTTACACAGGAACTGCAGGTATGTAGATGTAGACGTATGTTTATGCAATAACAAATTTGTTGCTGCTTTAGGACAATTTCAGATATTCTTTCATACTTTTTTTTTCGCTTAAAAAGATCGATCTTTCTTAGAATTTTACACTTGGTGTTCATGGAATGTACATTTCATAATTTGCTGAAATGAAAAAAAAAAAAACATTAAAAAGCAAATAAAACGAAAGAAATACAATATTTGTTCTTGCAAATTTGGTAAATACTCATTATGCAGATTCTCTTAATACGAATATATTGTTTCAATTTTACTCACCGTTCGGGGGTAAAATTTACAATAAAATACTGAATGGTATACAATGATACACCAAAGATATGTAAATTATTCTCAACTAATTTACCTGCAATCTTAAAAGTATTTCTATGAATTAAAAGTATAACTCTAACCAATTTAATGGAACATTATATAGAGTCCTTCAATACAGTTTACAATATAGATTTTATTCTAATGCTAGATATCTTAATTAATATTAATATCTGCAACATCACATCACATTCCTCGAAAATAACTAACATTTATTAAACAGATTGAAATTATAAATGTAATATTTCTACTGATAGTAAGGAAAATTTACTAATCTTTGATTGTAGAAAATTACATATACGGAAGATTTATTTTATTTTTATAAATTTACGGCTCTAATTAATAAGGATTCTCTGATATGGCGATGTATGATTAAGGATAAGAAGAAACATTACATTTAACAACATTGTTTTATTCCGGAATTACAATTCATTGTTAATTTTCAAATCTTAAACATGGGGAACACAGGGCTTATCTGCTAAATCTCCATAATGTTCTTGAACATTGACTAAAAGCTGAAAACTGTTTAATGAAGGCTTTAGTAGTTTATGTTGAAATCTTCTAAATCGACTGAGTAAAAGACGAATAAAGATATCAATCAAAAACTGGCGAAATCGCATGAACTATAAAAGGAGCGAGCAGGGGAATCGCAGTATGAGTGTCTCCTGTTTCACAATCATTTGAAATTTACAACCGGGAATAGGATTTTTACGCCCTTTAGAACATATGAATTTTAGACCAAAAAAAGGAAATCGACACAGCAATTGTACAGACACCTATATCTTGTTTTTAATCTTTTCTGTGTAATGGCTGAAGCTCATTTTCTTGCACGAAAATATTTTTTTTAAGAATTGCCGTCGCGTACATTGAAATATATTAAGAATTAAATTGACAATGGAAATGCGAAAAACTTCTTAAATACGCAGCATTATAGCCTATGACTTCAACATTTGCCATAAGAACCATACTTTTCTTTTTTTCCACGAAGCTGTGTGTGTGTTAAAGTTTTGAAAAATTTATGGCATATTTGTCAGGTATTACTAATATTTTAGGAGATAATATGCATTACAGCAATGGTAGATACTTCACCACCAAGGACAGAGACAATGATTCCAGTAGTAGAAATTGTGCTACAATTTTCAACTTGGGGCCCTGGTGGAATGGCAACTGCAGTAATGTTTCCCTGAATCTTGATTTAAAAAAATCAAAAATGAGATGGTTGGTTCTTAAATACATCCAATCTGTAATGAAGATCAGAAAAATCAACTAAAATAAATTTCTGTAAATAAATTAATAGACACTATAAGCATGATTATCGAGTTTTGTTATTTTCTTATTTAGAAAGTTGAAATGGATAGGTTGGTATGAGACAATATTGCCAAGACATTTTAAATGTACATCGGAGATATTCAGACAATAATAAAACAATCGTACAAAATTATGCAGAAAAATAGAAAAATATGGGTAGTGGTCCCTATAGAAAAACTACATCATTTGATCTTGAAGTTGATAATCAATAAAAGGCTTGCATTTTTTTTTATCTGACCAAGTTATTTTGTACAATCGAATCAATGCTTTTGAAAATTAATAGTTTATCAAGAAACTATCATAGGTATTATTGTAATTAAAGGACAAATACAAAATATTTCATAATTAAACGCGTTACGTCGGAAAGGGCAACTCATTTATAATATTACGTCATTTTAATGTTAAAGATTACAGTGAATAATCAATTAAGGCTCTATTACTAAGAAGTATACAAATTTTCGTTTGTGTGACAACATGAGGAATAGCATGCCTATAGTGTTTTTTTGGTATCAACGATTGTAAATGTTTTACGTTGTCGGTAGTATCAAAGACGATAGCATGGGGAATTTATGGTTCATACATTCAGATGATTAAACATGTGGTCTACAGAAAAATCAGACAGTACTCAAACACAAATACAATCTAATCAAACAACATTTGAAGGCCACACGCAGTTTTTAGCTAAAATTTATGCTTAAACGTGATCAATATGTCAATCTTTTAAATATCCTTTCAATAAGTTAGATACTTCCGGAGAACCTGGACTTCCCCCCGGTTTTGTTATGTTCCTGTTGCTAAATCTTTAGTTTTTTCGCCTTTTGGTTGGTTTTCATTTTTGCAATGATGTTGTCAATTTTTTTTCGACTGATTTTTTGAATGACGTCTTGATATATTCTGCCTCTTTGTTAAAAAGTACCTGTTTGTTTTTAACACCAAATTTTCAACAGAAAATTTGAATATGACCCACCGTATTACACTTTTAAAATGTATTACCGGGTTTGTACTTAAATGAGCAACATGACGGTTTACACATATAGAAAGGCTCTGCTTACCAATTCAATTCACTTGAGGGTTCGTGTTGATCAGTGATTAGTTTTTTATGTTGTGTTTTGTGTACTGTTTATTATCTTTTCTTCATGTTAAGTTTTTTTCACGCATTATCAGCTTGTTTTCGATTTATGAGTTTATCTATTCCTTTGGTATTTTACGATTCTTGTACCACAAATTACTGAAACGTATGAAATACTTTCATAGATATTTCATTGGTTGTACTTGTACAAAATTGTTACAAAAGGAATATCACATTCTAACTGATAAGTGATGTTCTTAGTAGGTCTCATAAATTAAGATACGGCCCATATAAACTTACTCTTCTTCAAAATAAACTCTTTTTCGTTGTAGTAAGATCTTTGAACTTTGTCGTTATTGGTACTAATATTGATTTCATTTTAATATTGCAATATTTAACTGAACATGTATCGATACTTATATTTCGACCTTGATTAAGATTATGCTTTTGACATTCTCGAGAACGTCTTTACACATAATCTATAGCCTATTAAGTCTGGAAAAACATGATCATTAGTTAGAATTGGGCTTTGGACTAGCTTTCAATGATTAAGGATGTCTTAGATTGATTCTTTGTGTCGTTTGCCTTTTTAGTTCTTGTTCCCGTGTTTAGTACTTATCTGATCAGTATAGACGTTTTAGTCTGATTTTGTATAGTTTGTTCTTATGTTGTATTCTTACACCCACTGTCTTTATATGTATGCACATAACCAAGAACCCGTAATATAGTGGTTTTCATCGGTTGTTGTTTGACTTGACATTTGATCTGTGTACTCCCAATTTCAAAGACTTTGTTTAATTAGATAAAACAAAACAATTAGGCTACATTGCAATAACTTCACTTTAATAGGACTTCTGAGAGGAGCATAATGTTGTCTAAAACGCAACTAAGATAAATTTAAAAAGCAACTAGGAAATATGTTTTTATAAAAGCAACTTATAGAAAACGACTTCCTCCAATACGACTTGTAAACTCTTTCCATAACTATTACAATGTTTATATGATTTCACAATATGAAAATACTGTAAGCAAATTGAGGAATACTAAAACTTTTTTCTTTGAAGTTATCAAGGTTAGGTTCTCCTCTTGGACCCGGGGATTTAAGGTTCCGGAGTAATTACCCTTAGTGTTGAAACATTCATTAGTAACTTACATGCAGTGAAAGTAATTTAACACTTTGCAGTACGTTAGGTATGCATTGTCATATACCATATACCCCCTATCCAAAATCGTGAAATGTTATATAAAATTTATATACAATTTTGTTAAGACAAAAGAAAACATAAAATGATGCATTCCTATGGTATGCTGTTTCAAATATATGTATAGGTCACTGCACAAAATATAACCTCTTGATTTTTTGTTCTTTTTTATTATTATTATTTATTGCATAACGTCAAGTTACAGACGAAATTTACACAACATTTGGTGAGGTGCTGACATCTTCTTGCACCAGGCCAAATGATTTCTTGAAACAGGGCTGTGCTTGCATTCTCCCATGGTGCTAAATCAATATAATGTCAAATATATCTTCTTATGAAACCCCTTTAAGACCTATCAATATTAATCTCTCAAACAAATTTATAAAGAATTTTTATTTGTTATCACGATAATATTCTATACCTATTCGATTCGCAAATACTTTATCTCATCGATTTAAAAAAGAAAAAAAAATGCTGAATTCGATATAATAACTAAAAAAAGAACATGTTTCCTAGTTATCATTTATAAACAAAATTTATAAATATATTGGACAATTATAAAATTATATCGAGTTTTACATTTGCCATGGTGATTTAGATAAGAAATGTAATATAGAAATTATAATCAGATAAAATGTCAGTATAATTAAACGTTTGATTTGTTTGATAAATTTGAAGAACAAATGTAATGCAAATTCGCGAATCGTGTTTACGAAATCTTATTGTAGTATACTGCATTTTCAACTCGTAGAATTTAACAATCTATCATTTCAAGTTGTTCTAACTAACCAATGATAAAAATTATCGATCTGAAGAAATGATTTTAAATTCGTATTAAACACATGTTAAATAACGAATTCATAGGATCTTAATGGGTTTCCCTATCTCAATACAAAGTGAATATTAAAACAGTAAAAGTGTATATGATAAGTTTATCCATCAAGATGGATGTCCGTTGTATAAACCTTATAAATTTCGGGAAAACATTCACATAGGTTTTGCATCTATATGTCCCAATTTGGTGCCGCGCTCCTGCCATTAAAGTTATGCACCAAACTTTCCATGATAAGTTATTGACGTTAGTTTTCTGTAAACGACAGAAAGATCCGAGTGTTCAAACGTTCTGTCCTGGTTATGTCGAAGACCATTTTCTTTCTGATATAACACGAATAAATGCAACAGTAGTAAACCGGTGTTCAAAAGTCATAAATCGATTGAGAGAAAAAAAAAAAAAAAACAAATGCGGGTCACAAACTTAAACAAAGGGAAACACTTCAACCACAAGAGGACAACAAAGGGACAACAGAAACACTGAAATACATAAAAAAACGCCAACTGGCCTAAACTATTGTTTAAATATTAGATCGGATAAAAGGCGTTTCGGACGCATGGACTTCGGATTATTGACGTGCTTGAAAATATTACTTCCTCGCAAATTAAACACAATTTACCTTTTTCTATTGGAGGCCAGGTCATAAAAGAGTTTGTTTCCAACAACAGAATTAAAAAAAGACCTCAATTCCAAATACAAAAATTTTTAATTTAGATTTTTTTGAAAAATGTGTAGGATTACCGTCTGTCAGATGCAAACTAAGTTATTTTGAATCCAGATGTCCTTCACTGCAAACTTGCACAAACAACCTTGTAAGCTCTCTATTATTATACCCCCGCTTTAAAAAGTGCGGGTATACTGTTTTACTTCTGTCTGTCCATCCATCTGCTCAGCCGTCCGTCCATCCATCCGTCCATCCGTCCATCCGTCACTCCTTCCTTCCGTTCGATGAATATATTTCGTCGCATCTTTCTCATGAACTATATCATAAGGATTTCTGAAATTTGGTTTCAGGGTTTATATAAGTCATCTCTACCGTGTGATGCGTTTTCAGATTCATCACTCAACAACTTCTTGTTTACCGAACACTTGTATCATTTTACACATGATAGCCCAGTTAGAAAATTTTGTCACATTTTTCTGGGGAACTACAATACAAGAATTTCTGAAATTTGGTTTCATGGTTCATATAGGTCTGCTATACCGTGTGATGCGTTTTCAGATTAATCACTCAACAACTTCCAATTGACCGAAATATTTAGGGGGTATCATCAGTGAGCAGTAGCTCACACTTTCACTTGTTAAACTACAGGTTTGAGAATAGAATTTGGGTTGTATAAATATGATTAAAAAAAATGCAGATCTGCAAAGTAAATCATGCATAATCCTGGTATTGTTGGTAGTTTTTACACTCTAAACATTTCATTAACACCAACCTATGTTACTTAATTCCTTCTGATAGAAACAAGTTCAGAAGACATTAGTCGTTCCTCTATATGAAGCTCTGGCTGTCAGTCTCAGGAAGCACTTGACATATTTTGGTTATTTGTGTGTCGGTCTCTACTTCATTTATTATAAATATATAGCAAAAAAAAAACCTGAACTTTAGCGACATATTGGGACCACATATGTCGGTTAAAGTCATCGTCGTTTGCGTCCGCGTCACTTTGTTTTTTCTGCAACTCCTTGGAGATGAATTACTCGCTCGAATACAGTTATCATAACAAGATATGAATTTGCATACAAGACATACAAATCGATTTTTTTTTATATTTACCATGTTTACAAGTACATCCACTAGATATATAAAAGTTAAATGCATTTTGTTTTTCAGAAAGATAAAAAAAAAATTTGATTTTGATGACCATTTTTTTTCGTTCCTGCAGAAGGTGTAAAAATAA